TCCGTACACATTTGGAATGTGGCATTTGCAATCCATCTAAAAGGAACATCATTTATGAAGTACAATTTGTTAAGAAGTTACATATAAGAATGAAAGATTGGAAGCAATGACAGAATCAAAACTGGAGGTTGAAATACAGACCAATTTAAAATGCAGATTACACAACTGAAAGTAAAGAATACAGAAAAAAATTAATTAGGAAAATAAAAATGGAAAGTGAAGTCAAAGCTAATGTAAATTAACATTTTTAATAAACTCAGTCAATAAAAAGTGAAGATATTAGATGCTTTTATTTCCAGAGGCAAAGGATTAATTGATTATATCAATATTATACTGGAGATGATTAATCCTAAGGAATAAGACTATGACAAGAAAAATCATGAAGAATAATAACATTTTAGTGAAAACAAAGCTTTTCAAAAATATGGTCTAAGTATAAACGCTGCACTTTTGAATTATAAATTTGAATATTGTTCCGAAAAGGATTGTTCTTTGTTCAGCAATGAACAAGCAGAAACCTGCATGCTTTGGGCACAAGCAAATTAAGAGATTGGAAACAACATTTGCCAAGGATTGTAACTTACTTGGTTGTAGCTAATTCCTGAATTGCTTTATATGTGTGGTTGTTAATTTATATGTTAATTTATATGCAATTTATACTTTACATGCAATGCAGTTGTTAAGGGAATAATTGTCTCATTTTTTAAAAATGCATTTTTAGCTATTTTTTAGCAATAGCATTTTTATCTGCTTGGCAACCTTTTTAAAGAGGTTGCTTCTTCCTTTTGTTTTAATTCCTTTTGCTTTTGACAATCTTGTGTAAATGAAAGCAGCTGTAACATGTTTCTGACTGTCAGCATAAATTTCAAATTGGATCTTAAAATAAGAGCAGGAACTTGCATTGAACTTGTATAAGTCCAAATAATTTAGCCAATTTCTTCAATAGTGCTATTCTCACTCTGTACAATCTTATAATATAGCTTGGCCCAGTTAAACTCGGTTTCCACTCACTGAAAGATTTTGGATGCACACACACACACACATACACACAGAAATATGTCAAATGTAAAAGTGCAGTTGAGGAGGGTTAATTAAAATTGGTAATGCCAGAATTATCACGTAAGTGCTATTGACAGGTTAACAATAGGAGTAGAAGTAGTAGTGGAGATACTGTAGAAGTAATAGCAGTTGTAGTGAAGGTGGTTCCAATACTAAAACTCCCTGCGGCACAGGATCATAGGAGTATTCAAGCAACCAATAGAGACCAAAGAAATCTGAGGAGCCACCTGGATTGCAGGTGCCAGTGACTATGGTAGAGGCCTAGGTGCCCCTACTTCTGGTGCAGCCCTTGGTACCAATGTACCCAGTAACTCTAGATGTGACTAATAGTGACCATGGTTCTCAGAGTCTGGGTTAGCAATAGCACTTAGACTTATATACCACTTCATAGTGCTTTAAAGCCTTCTCTAAGCGGTTCACAGAGCCAGCATATTGCCCCCAACAATCTGGCTCCTCATTTTACCCACCTCGGAAGGATGGAAGGCTGAGTCAACCTTGAGCCTGGTGAGATTCGATCTGCCAATTTACAGGCAGCTGGCTGTCAGCAGAAGTAGCCTGCAGTACTGCACTCTAACCACTGCACCACCAAGGTTACTTCCTTGGCATTCCAAAGGATGAGACCCAAGGTTTGGGAGGATTGTGGAGCTATCGGCATCTGTTTATCTGACTTTAGTTTTTCTAACAAGGCAAAGCTGGAAGTCAATTTCAGTGTCTTCTTCCTACACCCCTTTTGCCAGCTCCTCCCAAAGATACCAGACTTACATTTTATAACAATCCTCCAGATAAAACCGGCAGGATTGGTGCAAAATCAAATGACCCACTCAGAGGAATTGTGGCCTTCTGTCATTAGCCAACTACTTAATAGTCCTCCAGCTATACAGGCAGCCGCTGGTATGTCATCAGATGGGTATTTAGAAAGTGGATATGCATTTCCTCAGTCCCACTCATGTACTCTTGTGGCTAGTTGGGCCATGCATACTGCTTTTCAAGCAAAATCTGCTTGAACTATCATTGCTTTAATCTCTGTAGGTTACATATTCATCATTGGCAGTTGGTTTGTAAAACGTATCATTCTCTGAGAAGCAGTTATCAAGGAAAAGAAAATATTAATTGGTACTGTTAAAAACAGTCTAATGCATAATTTTTGAAAAACATGCTTTGCTGAAGATCCCAATCAGGAAAATGTCCCCCTTCCTCTTTTAAATTCCTGTCTTCTGTGTTTCCAACCTGGTGGAAGATTTAGAATTGCTTAGAAATTTCATACATATTGGTAATGATGCAGTGACTTTGATCTGTATAAATTTGAAGGTATCCTCAATGGTCACAATAGGATTTGCACTTTTTTCTTTTCAAATTCTGCCATTCACCTCCATGGGATGAAGACTGGGGAAACTATGGTAACCTGCCATTTTGTTTAATAGTAGAATTCTTTTTTACACTTCTTCCAGTTCCGATAGCATATATGGGGAACCATTCACTTGTGAAAGGATAGTTTAGTAATAAATTGCTTATTCCAGTCCCTGTCCACTTAAGTAGGAAGATTTATACCTTTCCATCTCACAACATGTGACCCTTTGCAGCATACAACACCACAACAATTAAAAACTCCAAAACAATTTGAAAACAATCAAAAATAAAATAAGCATCTAAAGCATAGTTTTCCTAAATCTAAACTAATCCAGGGCTTTATTTTTTTAAAAAAGGATAAATATAGTTGTCTTTTATATTGGTATCTTTCCAATACTTCCTTTTGAATTTTACTACTTTCTCCTATGCTAGCAGTTTTATATAGAACTTATGGACAATGGTATACCAAAGACATAAAGCAAATATTTCAATGGGTTTTTGGTGACAGTAGTAACATTAACTTTCTTGCTGACTGTGTTTCAATCCATTTAGAAAACATGTCCAGTGTAGCATCTGGGGAAAGTTCACTTGTATATTTATAAAATATTTCATAGTGGTTGTTGGTGGAAACCTCTGTGCTGTTAGCCTTTGCCCCTTTATGTTTCTGGCACTTTAAACAGCTTGCACATGTCTGAGCACTAACCAAATAAAGATGCAGGTCACACCATAGTTTTGCATTTTCATTTGCGTCACCCAGCAAAATTTGTAAAAGAAAGAGGAGGAGGATGTTTGGAGATTGGGTCTGAGGTAGAGATAGTTCTGGGGAAGAAAGGATAGAAAACTGGAAGGAAATGAGGTGAAGGGAAAAGGTAACTAACTATGGTTGAAAGCAAAGAAGAAAAATCCTATATACGTGTGTATTACAAAAAAGTATTTTAAGAGTAAAAATTCATTCAGGTGAGCAGCATTGATAATCTGAGGCAGGCTGACTTACAAGTAAGGCTGAACTCTGTTTTTTGCCTTAATAGTTTCAACCCATTTTATAATGCCTGAATGTGTAAGCACATGGGACACTGACTGGCAAAGTCAAGGTACTGACAATTGTGTAGTTGTGATGCAAGCCTCTGTCTCCTTTCCTCTTTTGTACACAGGTAGTCCTTGACTTACAAACATTCATTCAATAACTGTTTGAAGTTCAAAAGACACTGAAAAAGTGACAACCATTTTTCACACTTATGACTGTTACAGTATCGCCATGATGACATGATCAAAATTGGATGCTTGGTAACTGGCATGCATTTACGATGGTTGCAGTGTCTCGAAGTCATGCTATCATTTTTTCAAACTACTGACAAGCAAAGTCAACAGGGAAGCCAAATTTACTTAACAACCATGTCACTAACTTAACAATTGCAGTGATTCACTTAACAAGTGTGAGGAGAAAGGTGGTAAAATGGGCAAAACTCACTTAACAACCATCTTGCTTAGCAACAGAAATTTTGGGTTCAATTGTCATAAGTCAAGGACTAGCTTTATACATTCATCATTCTGTCCATTCAACTGCTCTGGATTGAATAAAAGTAAAAACTATTCACCACAGAAGAAAAGAAAAAGAAATAGGACTGGGGCAGCTTTGGGATTATTTCTTAAGAGTACATTATCCTAGATGTGACCTCAAACAAACATTACAACTTAGTACAGCAATATAATTAAATATTAGTATTCTGATTAATAAGAAGCACTGCTACCTAAGCAGCCAAAATCATTCTGTTTCTCAGGTAATATTGTTTTGCACCACTGTTTCTTTGTTGTTTATTAAATTATTGAACAGAGTTGTTTAATGACAAACTATGATACTCTTACATTATTTTTTACTCTAGAGACTTTTCTGCCAATGTATGGAAAGGGTTAAGCATTACTGCCTTCTGTATAAATAGTGATTACACAACACTCTTGTATATTTAAGTTCGAGATTCCTGGGCTAAACTGTTTGCCCAGGGATGGGGTGTCGGATCTGGGAATAACACAGAGAGATTCCATTGCATCTGTTACCTTACGGCTCCACAGCCATGTTTCTAGAGGCCTCATGCGCCAAAAATTAAAACATGCCTCTCTCTAATAACTCCTTTCCAATTTGAAGAAAGAATCTCATCTTCAGGTAATACATGGTATTTATATGTGAGGTTATATATAGGGGTATATGTGTGTATGCATGTGTATATGAATAGCTAGCTAGAGGTAGGTAGGTATGCATTGATAGGCATATTTATTTAACGTCAAGCAGTAGAAGATATTGTCTTGCCTTTTGCTTTCTAAAACCGGCCAAGTTGTGTTTTCTGTTTGTGGTTGATTGTTAAACCTTCAGCGTCCAGATTCCTTTTTGGTAGCATCGGAATGAAGTTCACAGCATAATGTTTAGCAGAAGAACAAATAAGAACCATCTTATGTAAAGATTAATTACACTACAAGCAGCACTAACTCTTTGTAGTAAATTGATTTTTGGGATTGTGAATGATATTGAGCATATGACAAGTTCATCTGAGTTTTTAATTTAATTTTATTTTGTCTTATTTTTCTCCCTTTTCTTTTCACAGTAAAGTGCATGGTGTTCATGTCCCTGTGCTTAAGTTACACACAACTAATTCTACCATGCAATTCAGTCAGGAAGATTTTGAGAAGGCCAAAGAACAAGTGAACCTTTTGCAGGATGAGCCAAGCGATGACATCAAGTTGAAGCTTTATGCATTGTATAAACAGGTATCCCAACCATTTACCTTCTTAAATATGTAAATGTTGAAAAATATATTTGGAATCTCTCTCTCTCTCTCTCTCTCTCTCTCTCTCTCTCTCTCTCTCTCT